AGTTCAAGTAAGTTATGTAATCGTTTCAGGGACATTGAGAAAGTATTAAGTAATACGGAAGCTGTGATAAGATGAGGTCGCCAACCTCTGATGATGACGTTTGTCACGCGCTGATACGCGACTAGTCCAAATAAAGAATCGTGTTTGAATAAGATTCGAATGGCATTCTTCTATACTAATATGCAAGCCGCCGATGACTTATGTCCGTCTCAGCCGTTTGAATTCATTATCATTGTTTGTATGCGACGTAAAAGTTTTGTTTAATTTGAAACGAGTTCCGTGTTTCAGATTTGGTATTCTCTTCGTACCGTGCGGCTAGTAGTCTTGAGAACATCTCTGGTGCTATATTTTTTATTGCAACACCTACAACGTGACCCGCTTACGGAACCATCCAGGTCACAAAATGTGCCATTCATTTATAGCGCCAATCAATCTGTTATCTCCGATCTAGTCACTAGTTGGTGGATTTCTAGCTTTTTATGCGTCTGCCGTGTGGGGTCGTCGACCTTTGATTCTGATTGCTCATTCATCTTACATCATTGTGGTTTGGGACGTATTAAAATTTTTCTTTTACCTTTTCTTAAAGCGTTGTCGTGTCATTACTTTAATATTCTCGTAATGCATTTTGTCTGCGTCGGGTCATATCTAATCTTGTAAGTCATTTCTGTTTCTATTCCGCTGATGTCTGTTACCATTAGTGTACGGATTTGCTAAAGTTTCTACAATTGAATACATTTCATTAAATGTAATGCCAGTAATTGAAATAAACATGGATCTTACGCTATCACGAAATAGATTAAAGGTATTTTTATTTAATAGTTCTATTTTTTTAGCGGTCGATTTCTCATGGTTCGCGGTGGTTGGCGTTGCGGTCTAGACGTTGTCATCGTCACCGATTGTGCCATTGTGCGGTCTATTCAAGTTGCTTTTTGTCTATTAGTCGTGAATGAGGCAATCACATCTCAGGAAGTTGGCAATTTGTCGTATAGACTTTGTTCGCCAACACCACAACTGTATCAAAGATTACTATAGTCACGCCATGTTTTACCACCTAAGACACTTACAGCATAGTTTCCTCGCTTGTCTCTAAGTGTACCAAGTTCATTACGTTTTTTAGACACTCGAGAAGTTTTTAACTCGAGTTCGGAGCTAACCCGAAGCTAAATGCGACTGTATTTTTATAAGCGAATAACGTGACTAGCATGTAATGACTTAAAATGTTCTTGTACGTAATTTATTTGAGATGAGATTGAGTAAAAAATCACTATTCGCCTAATCAAAACAACATTAGTCAAACAAATTGTTTAGAGATTCGGATGTTGTAAAAAATTTTAGGAAAATTCTTTAGAATACGTATTACTTAAGATTATTGAACTTTGTAAGAGTCTATGTATATATATTATACTTTAAATCAGTATTGACTATCACAGAATCCCCTAAACTTTACTTGTATTTATTGCTAGTTGGTTGGTTGGAATTTCTCACGGTTAATTCATTTCTTGAAAAAACAAAATCTAATTACCGATTACTTTGAATTCTAACAAGCCATTGTCACGATAAAGATCATTTCAAACTGTCTAGACTTTCGCATTACTTATTCTTTATGCTGAGAACAAGGGGTATAAACGGAGTCGTTCTCTTAAAACGGTCACATCTTATGCCGGCGCTATCGCGGCTCGATCTCAGCTGACGGGGCTTAGCGCGTATCCTCAAAAACCAGTTGCACTTCCCTGCAGGCGAATTTCGGCTTACGTAATATAATGATATGCATTCGTTTTCAAGCATGGTCCAAGGCCACTGCCAGACCACGTGGGGGCGGGACGATCGCCGGACCAATATCTTAAGTGGCAGTTATGAATTAATCACCGTGCACAACGTGATGCACTTTCAATCTTCAATTTACCGTTAGAATTCCCGTTCATAGACTTTCGTTCGCTTGCGTGTTCTACATTAGAATACATTGTATCGAAGGGTGCGAAATCTCGTTACAAGCCTTGCATCCTCGTTTATCTTTTTTATCTGCAATATTTATTGTATGTTCGACATGCATGTTTATTGAGCACGCATCTTATGTTTTTACGTAGGCGTTGCAACCCAGTTCTGTTTGCATTTGAATTCAACTAATATGTGTACCCACTGAGCGAGCTCGTTGTTCCACGTTTTTGTTTTCTTTACCGGACGGACGACACCTCCTATATAGTCACCCACGCTTACACGTATTATTCTATTCAAGTCGAAAAAGGTCGAACATTAGTCCAGAACGCATATGGCGACGGCGACCCACGTCGCCAACGAAATTCGCAGCAGTTTTATGAAGGTGTTATTCATCTAGATTA